GGACGAAGATACGCAGCAATATACTCATCAATACCAACAGCCAATGCTTCAAGTATATCTCCCACTACCCCATTCAGCCGATATTTTGAGCCCTCATAGAACAGGCGACGAAGGTTAGCATCCAGAATCAGATCATAGTTGGCGGAAACAACATGGCCGTCAACCAGATCGGTGCAGTTAGGAAACGCCCGACGACAAGGGCAATCAGCAGCAGCAGGTAGGCACAGGTCCGGAGTGACACTCAAGGCCACTTCCGTAAAATTACAKAATTGTACCCTTGTTGGGGGCACGAGTTTGTCACAGATGCGAATGCTGCTAGCTGCCTGGGGGTCGGGGTGTAATGCACACACATCCGGAGAATGCAACACATGGCGCAACTTAGTAGCCTTCAGGATCTCATGCATATGCACAATYCTGATGAAGTTTCCGAAGGTGTCACGAGAATGAGCAGTATATCGTTGTCGGACGTGTTGAAATCGCCGAATAAGGCATTCAAGTTCACGGACGTYCGCAGTCATGTCTGCATTAGAAACATTTATATACAGCCATTGCAGCAGGCGAACTCGCATTGGGCGTAGCCTGCTGAATGAAAGCAACAACTTCGGACCAAGAACCCGGTGTGCCTAATGTCAATAACCGCCGTAACGTTGTTTGTACTGCTAGTTGAGGGCCCGGGCTAATATCAATGGTGAAGGCCCGAGAGGAGACGCCAGTTGGAGACGGGTGAGGAGAAACGGCAGAATGATGAGAAGCAGCAGGAACCTCACTTACCTGTTGACCCCAAATGAGATTTGTTCTGATAGCCACCACTAATTAGTTGGTCTGTGTACTATGCTGCGGTAGGCATCTAGAATGATCTAGTGTGGACAGTGCACAGTGTTGTAGCCTATGAGCGACGTGGAGGACACCGGAGAGGACGACCTCAGGACCTTACGATCGGCTAGAGGACCGGTATCCCATGTGTCTTTAGGACCGGAGGGTGATAGGGAATTGTTCCGCCGACAAAGGGAAAGGAGAGCTAGAGCAGCCGAGGCCAGCAGGGCATTTGCTAGCGAGGCCAGTGCTATAGAAGCCATGGCTACCACAACCATGAGCACGTCTGCGCAGCAGACTTCCCAAGCCGGAAGTTCAGGTACCGTCGGGTCCACGGTTGTACAGACCGTGAGTCAGTCCACTGGCTTAATGGCAAGCCAGCACGCGGTGTTGTCCCCAGAGGATGCGGCCGTCCAGCAGGCAGCCCTGCAAGAGGCACAACTACAACAGGCATTAGGAAAGATAAAAAGGGAGAAAGAGATGATGATTAGAAGAAGAGCCAGGATGCAACAGAGAGGGGCAGACATAGAGGAGTTAGAGACGATGGACCTGACGCATATGGATGAGGATGTGAAGGTAGTTAGGAGGGCTCTGCTAGGCGTAATTGAGATGCAGGAGCATCAAACTACCCCCCTTCAGGACATTCAACAAAGCCTAGCCGTGTTGGCAGGCCGTGCTCAGGCAGCACCATCACCAGCAGGGCCTGGTGCCTGGCCCGTGCCATATCCTCCTCTTTCTGTTCCACCGGCGACTGGGGTATCCCCATATGTAGCCCCTTCATCGGTTGCTATCGTTTCCCTGGGCATGCCTTTGTAAGGAGGGGTAACAACAGGGAGTAGTTTGCAGGTTCCTGTTCAGACAGTGTTTACTCCAAGTCCGTCACAGGTTGCAGTCACCACGCAGCCTGCTGTCTCACAGTTTGTGCAACCTCATGGCACACAGCCCCAGCAGCTAGCACAACAACCTGTATCGTCGGGTCCACAACCCGGGTTGGTGCAGGGACTGGGACAAAGTCAGTGGGTTCCAAAGACAGCCATCGCCGCTCCCAAACCCTTTACAGGGGACAAGAGAGGCGAAAATCTCGACACATGGTTGAGGGCAGTGCCGGTCTATGTCAGGTGTAAACTCACCTTGCCACACGAAGAAGTGCTTGTGGCTGCTTCCTATCTGGAGGGTAGTGCAGCGAGATGGTTGAGTGGGTTAGTGCACTCCAGGGGTACGGTCATGACTTTCGCTCTTGGGCAGCCTCTCAAAAATTGGAGGACTTCCTGAAAATGGTGGAAGACAGGTGGCATGATCCGCAGGAGGCTCAAAAGGCCACTGACGCGATTCTGACACTGCACACGCGGCAGTTTAAGTCAGTAAGGGATGCCACCGACGCTGTAGAGCRTTTGATTTGTGTTCCAGGGGTACGCTATAACCCCTAGGTCGTGCTAACTTCGTACTTGAGGACCTTATCTTTGCCGCTCTGGAACCAGTTGGCGAAAGAGGCCAACATTAATATGCACAACTTTCCTTCGTTCAGCAAGGTGGCCCTAAACCTAGAAGCAAAGATAGGGCATGGACAGGGACCCACTACGGAAGGGAGAAAGAAGACACTGCCTCCCAACTGGAAGGCGAAAGGTCGCATCATGTTTGTCGATAATGATGGATCAACCATCGAGTTGGACGACGACTTCCAGGAGGGAGTAAGTGCAGAGGCGGGTGGCGAAACTTCAGAGGGTGGAGTAGTCGCCGCCGTAACCCAGCAAAAAGGTAAAGGGACCGGTAGACGCCATAGGGGATCCCGGTCGAAGAGTCAAACAGACCCCAATGCTTTTCCATGGGAGAAAGCGGGTCTATCTGAGGACGTGTGGAGAGATCGGTGGGCCCGGCAAACTTGTATCAAGTGTGGTCAGTATGACCATAGCATGTACAAGTGTCGAAACAGGAAGGTCACCGAGAAGATCCTGCCTACGATGGGGCCGGCGGTAGGATCCTCCACTCCCGTTGGTAGCAACGTTGCCAGTTCTTCAGGCACCGCTCTGGAAAACACGTCGGGCCAGTAGGAATAGTAATTGTTCCTACTAGGGTCGCGGTGGTGGATACACCCTCACCTTCGCGAGAGATGGCCCAAGCTACTGACTCTCCAGTCGTCCCGCAAGCACATTCAGACCCATCGACCCTCTGTTCGATGAATGTGTTTGAGTCCTTAGAGGAGCTAGAGGTGGAGTGGTCTAGATTAGACTCGTTAGTTTCTTGGATGGCCTTAGTCAAAGCTCCTAAGGGTGAGATGTTCGTCAGCGAGGTTGTTATTGGAGGCCGCACGGCCGGGGCCTATTATGACACTTGCTCGACACGGAACTTTATTAGTCGCACATGCGTTGAGAGACTGCGCTTACAGGGGCGAGTGCACCGCCTGAGTCGACCTGTGGAGTCGACCTGTGCCAACAAACAGCGCATGGTAGTTAACGACTACCTCCAGGATGTAGAGTGTAGTTTCCCGTAAGCGGGAGGGGACTTGAGGCATCGTGTCTCGTTCCTAGTAAGCGATGAACTCCCCATGGACATGTTGTTAGGTATGTACTACCTCTCTGTGGCACAACCCCAGTTTGACTGGGACCGAAAAGTGGTCAAACACACTTTGCCAGGTGGAGGGACCGCCAGATTATATAAGTTCAAAGCTAGTAGTCTGATTGAGTCCTACGGGTGCATGTGTGCGGCCGTATTCTATAATTATTATAAGCAAAATCAGGAGGAGGGTATGTACTTAGTTTATGTCTCTGCTACAGGCGAGCCGGTGAAAATGCCGCCAGAGATAGAGGGAGTAGTTGCCAAGTACCCGGATCTATTTGAGGAGCCTACAGGGGTTGTTTAGAGGGAGGTCGTCCACGCGATAGAGATTATCCCAGGGTCTAGTATTCCAAAGGGTAGGATCTATCGGATGTCTCCAAGCGAGTTTGATGAGCTTCGCCGCCAACTCAAGGAACTCATAGAGAAGGGTTGGATCCAGCCGAGTGTCTCTCCTTACGGACTCCAGTACTGTTCGTACCTAAGAAGAAGGAGGGCACTCTCAGGGTGTGCATTGACTATAGGGGCCTCAATGCCATCACTGTGAAGAACAGAGAGCCCCTACCGCGCATCGATGATCTGTTAGATAGAGTGCAAGGGTGTCGGTACTTCAGTAAAATAGATCTGAAGTTCGGGTACCATCAGATTGCAATCCGGCCCGAGGATCAACACAAAACCGCATTTCAGACTAGGTACGGTCTGTACGAGTTTGTGGTGATGCCTTTTGGCCTTTGCAATGCTCCTGGCACCATTCAACACGATATGAATCGGATATTCCATGACTACTTGGATAAGTTTGTCGTCGTGTACCTCGATGACATACTTATTTTTAGTAAGACTGTTGAGGAGCACGTAGCACACTTAGACAAAGTTCTCAGTCTCCTGCGACAGCACAAGGTCAATATGAACGGTGAAAAGTGCGAGTTTGGCCGCACCCGTATCTTGTACTTGGGTCATGAGATCTCCGCAGAAGGGTTGAAGCCTGATGATGCGAAGGTGGCCAGCATTCGTGATTGGCCACGACCTCAGTCTGTGACTGAGATGAGATCTTTCTTAGGAATGACAGGCTACTGCCGGACTTTTGTAAAGAACTATAGCATTGTGGCCGCTCCTTTGACTGATCTGACCCGCCTTGACACCCCTTGGGAGTGGACAGATGAGTGCGCGGCTGCTTTCAGACATCTGAAGCATGCATTGATGCACTATGAAGTCTTGAAGCTACCCGATCCTGATAAGCCATTTACAGTAACCACGGATGCCAGCCAATATGGCATTGGCGCCTTGCTTGCGTAGCAGGAGGGGCCAAAGTTGAGGCCAGTTGAGTACATGTCTAAGAAAATGCCATCTCAGAAGTTGGCTAAGTCCACTTATGAGAAGGAACTCTATGCGGTGTACAAGGCTCTCACCCATTGGAGACACTATCTCCTTGGGAGGTTCTTCATCCCTACAACTGATCATCAGATCCTGAAATGGATGAGAACCCAGCCGATACTCTCTGACGCTCTCAAGCGTTGGATCGAAGTCATTGAGTAATATGACTTTGACCCTCAGTATCTAAAAGGGGAGTATAACAAGGTTGCTGACGCCCTGTCGCGCAGACCAGACTTCTCAGGTGCGCTGATTACTGAGTTCAGTCTCACAGACAATGTTACTCAATCCTTGGTGGAAGCCTATCGCGAGGACCAGTTTATGTCTGAGATCATACGCAGACTTGAGGCGAAGGATAAGAAGACGTCCGCCGAGTTTGAGTTGGTTAATGGCTTGTTGTTCCTTGAGAAGGCAGGGAATAAACGATTGTGTGTTCCCAATAGTGAGTCTTTGCATAGTTTGTTTCTAGGTGAGTGTCATGATGCCACCGGTCATTTCGGGTATAAGAAGACCGCAGCTAACTTGCTGCAGCGATTCTGGTGGCCCACGATGATGCGAGATGCACAGTTGTACGTGGAGACTTGTCAAGTTTGTCAACGAGACAAGCCCCGTACTCAGGCTCCTCTTGGGCTGCTTAACCCCCTTCCGATTCCGGAAAGGCCCGGTGAAAGCTTGTCCATGGACTTCATGGATAAGTTGGTCACCAGCAAGAGTGGGATGAGGCAGATCTTCGTCATCGTGGATAGGTTTAGCAAGTATGCTAGGTTAATAGCCATGTCGGAAATAGCGAAGACCGAGTATGTAATCAGGCTGTTCAAAGAGAACTGGGTGAGGGATTTTGGATTGCCTAAGTCTATTGTAAGTGACAGGGATGTCAGATTTACAAGTGAATTATGGAAGGCCGCTGCAGCTGAACAAGGAACTCAACTGCAGATGACTTCTGGAAACCATCCAGAAGGAAACGGCCGGGCTGAACAGATGAACCGCGCTGTCCACCACCTGTTGAGGCATTACATTAAGCCCAACCAGGTGGACTGGGACGAGAAGCTTGCTCTTGTCGCCAGTCTGTAGAATAACGCTGTACACAGTGCTACCGGTGTAAGTCCTAACTGTCTACATCTAACCTTTAGGCCTAGACTGCCTTTAGACTTCCTACTTCCTGATAACCAGCCAACTGTTACGCCGGGCACTTTGGAGTTCGCGTATCGTTACGAACAGAATATGCAGGAGGCTGTAGAGCACATACAGAAGGCGCAGGCAGCAATGATAGAATCTGAGAATAAACACCGCCGCCCTTTTACATTTCAGGTTGGGGACAGAGTCTGGGTCAAATCTTCAGAACTGGGACAGGAGTTCGAGATATCCCGCAAACTCATGCCTCAGTACTTTGGACCTTGGGAAGTTTTAGCCGTAGTAGGGACAGATCCCAATGGTCCATCATATGTCATCCGTATCCCTGGTCATCTCATAACTTACCCAGTCTTTCACGCCTCTAAGCTCGCTGCATTCAAGGAAACTGATTAGTTTCCCTCTCGTCGATCCATGCTGCCCCCAACCATGGACGGAGAAGTCGACAACGATGATATCGTTAACCACAGGGAGATGCCTGTTCAGAAGCCTCCAAGAAGGGGACGTCCTCCAAAGCCAAAGCTGCAGTTCCCAGTCCACTTCAGACATCATATAGATCCGAAGGAGGACCACTGGTTTACTCGGGAGGAACTGATGCAGACCGCTCCTCAAATCGTTGCCCGCTATGAGAAGGATGTACTGAAAGGAAAGCGCCAGATGGCTGCAGGTTTGATCTTCGCAGAGGACTAACGAAGATATGGAGGAGGGAATGCGAGGCTACGCCCGCTTAGCCCCTACGGGGCCCTATCTGCAACAAGGTCGGCCGCCCTAAGTGAAGGCAGGCACGACAGGCCCTTCGGGCCTCATTCTTCAGGGTACCCCCCCCATCGGGGAAATTCAGACAGTTGCGTTGCGCCAGTTGGTTGAATGAATCCAGGCCCTGGGCCGCCTGTGTAAATGAATGTGAAGCAGGCCCTAGGCTGGATACGGGTACCGGGCCAAACACAGGCCGGAAGCAGTTGGGCGCATGCAACCACTTCAGGCCCAAGGCCTGCTCTCTTCGTGACTAGGCCTGTGCCTACCGGGGCCTACCGGAAGCTTCCTGGACTGGACGCAGGCAGGCCACTTCGATATAGGGAAGGGCCTGCCTCCTCATTCGGCATTCGGGTGCTGGCTGCATGCTGCATGAGCGCTGCTGCGCAATCCGCTGGCTGGCTGGCACACACGCTCTCACGGGCGAGTAGGAGGGAGCACGCAGCCATAGCCAAGCTGCGCTGCTTTATGCTAGGTGAAGCGCAGGGTGGTCCTTGGGGTGCTAGTGGCATCTGTGCGGTGTGGATCGGGGTTGTGAGTGTTACGAGAGACATACCTGGTGCTGAAGCGTGCGACGTTGGTCGCCATATGCTCGTACTTCGGGAACGCTGTTGATGTCATCATTCTGCTTCGTAGTATAGGCTAGATAGGATCTGCCACCTGTAAACTACTTCAGCATTGTCAATTTTGAACTCTTGGTGTGTTCTTATTTGGTGTATCTCGTGATGCCAGTCTGCTGTGGTTCGAGGTCAAGACTATCTGGGCTCATATGTATGATGCGGTTTGATTACTGAAGTCCGCTAATGCTCATCTTCCTTGCAAAAAATAACAAAAAATAAAAAAAGAATTAAATTTAGTGAGTTCGCGAGCACGTTTTCGACACCGCCATCTTTGGCGATTCTTCATTTTTTTTGGGAATAGCTAAATGCCCTGAAAATTTACATATGCTTACTTCACATAATGCAAAACACACTAAAAAAGTTTCAAAAAATAATAAAATTGTTTAGACCCCGAACTAAAGTGAAAACAAAAAGTAAAAGTGAAAAAAAACGTGGGGAAGCATGTTTTGACACTGCCATCTTTGGCGATTTTTAATTCTTATTTGGCTCAGGCAAATGACTTGAAAATTTATAGGCGTGTACCTCACGTCATAGAGAACTCACAAAAAACAATTCAGGAAAAAAACAATATTTTTAGACCCCGAAATAATTTTTGGCGGGGGCCGAACGCCGTCGGGTTCGGACCCCATACGGGACCCCGAACGCCCGTATGTATGGAGGTCTTCCCGGGGACCTCCGTACGTACGGGCTGGTAAAACTGTATAATATATTTCTTTGTTTCGTGGATGTTTTGCTGGCTTGTGATGGGGTGTGAACCGACAGTCTGTAGAGTTTTCCATCTGGTGTGGGTGAGTGATAGTCTACTTTGATTTTGGTTAAGGTAGATTATCATTTACAGTGTAATTAGTGAGGGGATTCTGCAAACTGTTGAGGGTTCAGCCTCCTAATGAGTCGGTGAAACTCCGACGAAACAGTTTGTCACAGCCCCTTGTTTGTTGTCCTCTTCTCTCTCTCTGCCTACGGTTTACCGGGCAGTATACTACGACTTCGCTAGCTTCCTGCTACGGTTTTTTCCGGTCAGGTCGAGCGGCAGTGGTCGGGGCCGTTACTAGGCGGCCATGCTGTGCCTCTAGTGCCAGCGGCGTGTCTGGAGTGTATTTTTTGGCTGTGACAAACCTTTCTTTGTTTCGTGGATGTTTTGCTGGCTTGTGATGGGGTGTGAACCGACAGTCTGTAGAATTTTCCATCTGGTGTGGGTGAGTGATAGTCTACTTTGATTTTGGTTAAGGTAGATTATCATTTATAGTGTAATCAGTGAGGGGATTCTGCAGACTGTTGAGGGTTCAGCCTCCTGATGAGTCGGTGAAACTCCGACGAAACAGTTTGTCACAACCCCTCGATTGTTGTCCTCTTCTCTCTCTCTGCCTACGGTTTACCGGGCAGTTCTGTTTGTGACGATATATATATTCGTTTGACGGTATATATATATTTGTCAGGGCAAGTGGTTCCTCGCCACATTGGAAGCCTAGTCTCTATGCTGCTTTTTCCCCCCCGTTTCGCAGGGAGTGTGCCTGTTAGTGGCACCCGATCCACTAAGTACGGTCCGACTCGCGCCAGCACGTGCAGGAGGAGCACACAGCACAGGGGGGGCGTTGGGGTGGAGATGGCCGAAAAGGGGGCAGATGCATGAGTGGGGCAGAGAGGATGTGGCGGACAACGGCAAGGAGCAAGGAGGAGGAGGGGGGGCACGTCTCCGTCGTGTGCAGAGCATGGCCTTGTTTTAAATATAAAAATCACCCACAGTTTGCGAAGCAAAAGTAGAAGGAGAACGAGTGTGAGCTTACTACCTCTTCCACAGCGTGCAGTGACACAAAGATTGCTTCACACAGTCGTTGCTTGGCTGTAAATCAATCAACCTAACCTGCCTTTGCCTGCCCCCCACCACCCCGCCCCCCCCTCTACCGTTGTGTTTGAGCACATTGAATGTTGGGAAAAGGCCCAGAGTGTTGGGTGTGGTAGCCTTGCATATATAACAAGTGTTTTAACCATGCTTCCAGTTCTTCAACCATTAACAGGGTTATCGGGTGCGATTGAATTCACAACGTTCAACATTTGCTATGGACAGTTTGAGAAATAGAACATGCTATCTTGTAACAACTAGTTCCTTTTGGTGAAAAAATGCGCGCATCTTCTAGATGCACGTCTGTCAAGGAATTTTGGACATATGGTTCAGTCAATTTCACTGGTAGGTAGTGTCCTTGCAAAAGAGAGAGAGAGAGAGAGGAGAGTTCAATGCATGTTGCCCGCTTCGCCCGGAAATGAAAGAATGAAAAAAGAATTTTCATTCCCATAATGTTGTGATCTTCTTCAATACTCTCTTCCTTTGTCCTTTCACCTGCCTTTCTCATTACCAGTGAAACTTTGCCGATTCCTACAGACGACTTGTGAGGCCTTTTTTTTTTTTTTTTTTTTTTTTTGACTTGTGAAGCCTGCCTGACACTCTGGGATTGCCCTTTTTATTCTTCACTACATTATAACAATCGCTATTTGGACCCCTGTGAGCAGGAGCCGATCTGGGCTCTCGGTTTCCTTGGGGTGCGACAGTGCAGATTGGCTGCTGATCGTTTTCCATGTCATCAACTTGCGAGTCTGGACCGTCGTCGGCGCTGTAGTGCATGATCCTGATTGCCTGTTGATTGTTTTGGAGACGATCGCTGGGCCGGTAGTACCGAGCGCGGCACTGCCCAGGCCAATATCTGAATGGTACACGCGCTGGGGTGATGTAAGTTTTTTTTTTCTGCAAGGCGAGCCCTTAATTGTCTACACTCAACCTCGATACTCGACGCTACTGTAAGCTATCAGTCCGACTTGGCTACACTCAACTTCAACGCTGGCTATACTCGACATTGACCTACTGCACTTGACTTCGACTCTCTACGCTCGTTGGTACTCTAGGCTACTACTCTCGACTTTACTACCCTCTCTCTCTCTCTCTCTCTCTCTCTCTCTCTCTCTCTCTCTCTCTCTCTCTCTCTCTATTTCTGTGCTGGCGATGACTTCGACGCTACTGGACGCCAGTCTATGCTACTGCGCAGAACTTCGACTCTCTACGTTTGATGCTACTATGCTCAACTTCAACTCATTTCCAGTGCAGGAAGATCTCTCCTTCTCTCTCTCTCTCTCTCTCTCTCTTTCTCTCTCTCTCTCTTTGATCGGTCGGGAAGGCGGGGAAGGCGGCGCGATGTTTTTTTTTTTTTTTTTTTCCCCTTTGGGATCGACTCTCGACTTCGCTCGACTTCCACGCCACTTGGACTTGGACTTGCTCTAGGGGGTGCGGGGAAGCCCGACACAATGTTTTTTTTTTTCTTTTTCTTTTGGGCTTGACTCTTGACTTTGCTCGACTTCGACACTACTTGGACTTTGCTTTACATACACACACACACACACACACATGCTCATTGAATGTATAGCGGATATGACAACACACACACACACACACACACACACGACGCGTGGGCGCACACACGTTATGAGTCCTTGGCCATCAGTTCAATGCATCTTGGGCAGACTGTTGGGGTTCAACCTCCTGATGAGTCAGTGAAAGTCGGACGAAAC